TTCCTGCTCTCCCTACCTTTACTTTCAAGCAAAATAAGCAGCTTCTAAGCTAAATAAGTAGTTTCCTTCCAGGTAAGTCAACACAAATGATGACTTTAATTTACAATCAGGTTATGCCTATTATTAATGAACTCTTACAACTGAAGGGAGAACTCTGGTGCACCCCAGAAGGTGAATTCAGAAGGTCAGCAGTAGATTTACACTGATTCCTCCACAGCAGCCATGTAGAAACTGCTCATTACAACATAAATGAGGAAATTTATTAATCTCCTATCTTAAGGGACCAAAATTCGTGGGTTTTTCTTTTCAAGGACTAAATCAATGCAGACTACTCAGTGTTTTTGCCTGTTGACTGAGGAACCAGCTGTTCATGCAGCAAATACTTCCAGCACAGCTCAGTGCCTGCTCCTGCCAGCAAATCACTTGGTGCTACTTGGGAACTCCAGGCTAATCCTGCAATCACAGTGTAAACAAACACATTTCAGTCTCTGGTTGCCTTCAAAGATTAGCAAAAAAGAAAGCTAAGTGCCCTTCCAGTGTGGATTTGCCTGTGTTCTGCACTGGGAAAAGAGGGATGTGGGATCAGAGCCATGGGGAGATCTGTGCATCCCAGGTGACCTCACCAGGTTGATTCATGGTTAATCCTGAAGCATTTGCTTCCAGCAGGCATTTTATGCAACTGCCTGGGACAGTTATCCCATTCCCAAAGCACGTTCTGGCTGCCTCAGAGCAGGATAATGAATGTTGGGAAGTGAGGGGGATGATCATTTTGGTTTATGTAAAAACACCATCTGGAGACTACCTGAACCACAACCTGCTGCAACTGAGGAGTGAGAAGCAGTAAAGACAATCGAGTTTAGGTGTGGAGAGAGCACCTGGTGGGACATGTGTGTGCAGGACCTGGTGGGACATATGTGTGCAGGAATTGGTGGGACACGAGTAGGCAGGACCTGGTGAAGGATCTGGTGGGTCAATGTGTGTGCAGGATCTGGTGGGACAATGTGTGTAGGACCTTGTGGGACTATGTGTGTGCAAGACCTGGTGGGACAATGTGTCTGCAGGATCTGGTGGGACAATGTCTGCAGGACCTGGTGAGACAATGTCTGCAGGATCTGGTGGGAC